GTAGTAGTAGCAGCAATAGTAACCGACAGCAGGAGGAGGAGGAAGTGGGGGAGGAGCAACGGGATGGTGTAGGAGCGGTGTTAGGCGCTTTCATTGCACATTCAGGCAGACAGCTACTGTATGTTTCCGTTGCCCTGGGGACAATCCTCGTCGCCACAGCTGGATGCGCTTCGATTGTGGTGTACTCAGAAACCTCCCCTGGGCCCACTGATCAAGAACGCCTGGTCGACGTAATGCGTTTTTTGTAGCACTGCGGCAACCAGTCTTTTACCCTTGTTTCCTGAACAAATAAACGTTTCTACAAACTCATACAATGTTTCCGAAAAGACCTGGGTGGGTGGACAAAGGATGCGATGAGGATGCGAATGCAAATCTGGGAAGGGCGCGTGCTGTGTAGATTCGTATGTTGTTGTTGTTTTTTTGGGGGGGGCACATCCTCCTGGATATAGACGCTCGGGGGCCAGTCTGACTTGCAAGAGCATCGAATTTTCATGTCGCGTTGCAGAACACTTGCTGTTGCAAGGGCGTTACCTTTGGAAATGCACGCTGGCGCGCGCCACGCCGCAGGCAGACCACGGGCACACCGCCAGCACCCTGGGCATAACAACGAATCGACCCGCATGTACACATGGAACCACTTACGTGATTTGTGTGATTCGTCCGCATGTTTTTGGTGTGCTGACGGGATTCGTTTTTCAATCTTGCGCGGAGGAATTCGCTTGACTTCCTTTCGAGAGAAAGACAACCGTTTCTCTCAAGCCAGCCTGCAAATCGAGCCCCGCCAACACACCAGAAAACATGCACACGCACCGCAAACATATAAATGTTTCTACGCGTTCGTGCGCGTCTGTGCGCTTTTGTGCCCGGTGTGCTGGTTGTGGGCCCGCAGTGTGCCTTTGCGGCTTCTGAGAAATCCTTGCCGTAATATTCCCCACAACTGTGCTCATGGGAAGGATGGAACTGCAACCTAAGAAATCGTTCCCGTTCTGGCCGAAGAGTGGCTCTCGAAAGCCATTCGCAAACGACGGCTGGGGGCTCGCTCAAGTACCTGGCCAGGCTGCTGCACGCTTGAGCTCCAGTGCGACTGCGTCGCGCTGCTGGGCCCTCTCAGATTGTGACATGTTTTGATGCTCCCATCTTGGGGCACGTACGCGTGGAAATTCTGTAATCGCTAGCGGCCGCGTGGGTGTCCACGCGTGCTGTGGCGAAGTCATAAGATATAGATACGTGCGCAATGCGCGACGGCGCTTGCGCTGGAGAAACGCGTTCTTCGTCACTACACAAACCGCACGGGGCACCTAACAACCCCTGCCTTAGTAGTAGTAGTAATAGTAGTAGTAGTAGTAGTAGTAGTAGTAGTAGTAGTAGTAGTAGTAGTAGTAGTCGTAGTAGTCGTTGAAATGGTAGCAATGAGCGCCGTAGTAGTGGTAGTAGTAGTAGTAGTAGTAGTAGTAGTAGTAGTAGTAGTAGTAGTAGTAGTAGTAGTACTCGTAGTAGTCGTAGTAGTAGTAGTAGTAGTAGTAGTAGTAGAAGAAGAAGTAGTAGTAGTAGTAGTAGTAGTAGTAGTAGTAGACATAGTAGTAGTAGTAGCAGTCGTAGTCGTAGTCGAAGTAGTACTAGTAGTACTAGTAGTAGTAGTAGTAGTAGTAGTAGT